CCTCACCTACTGTACACATTACCCAAATTACCTGTTGAGGGTAAGTACTGGTGGGAGAGGCGACTATGGCAGTCCTGTTTATACTTCACGAGTCGATGAGGACCAAAGGTTATAACCAGTGGAATATATTTTTAAGGGCGCAGTAACTCCAGCCTATCGGTGAGGGTCTGGCCTTTATAACTCCAAATTATGTTTCGCTGGGGTGGGTAAAAATCACCTGAAACCAAATCCAGAACTTTATGCGGAAATAACACAAAGTTACCTGGTTATTTCATCGACGATAGCGGTGAATGGTGGAGCGTGGGGCCTGTGCTGTTTTACTTCGTCTGGAATATACACGAGGGATGATGAAAGAAGAATTTGAGGTGGAAAGTATTACATAAGTAAGTTCTGATATATATTTTTTTCTTAATATACTATACATGAAGGGTTGTGGGAGAGGAATTAGAGGAAAATATTACATACACTATATATGATCTGGTATTTTTTCTAATATGCATGAATGACTGATGAATACACACACACACACACTCATATACATACTGTGTGTGTGTGTATATATATATATATATATATATATATATATATATATATATATATATATAATATATATATATATATATATATATATATATATATATATATATATATATATATATATATATATATATATATATATATATATATATATATAATGTGTGTGTGTGTGTTACACTAATTAGAGAAAACTGCCTCGTAAACCTTGAAAAGCAAGTGTGGTTTCTGCCGAATAAGGACAACTTTAGTTTTTATTGTTCTAAATCAATGAAAATTAATTCGTATATGGTCAAATTTGTTCTGTTTCATGTGGGGCGTGAATTACCATCATAATATGGTAAAATTATACCTAAAGTAGGTTAGATTAGCTTAGCTTAGGTTTTGTATGAAACTTTTCATATACATATATTTTTATGGCCTATATGATCGTTTATTACGTCAGAAATTTCCAAAACGGATAACTACATAAGAGTTTTCTCTAATCGGCAATTACCCCTTTTTAGCGTTGCATACACACGCACACACACCAGTGTTGAGCAAATTATATATGAAATTTTTTGAGAAGAAACTACTAAGTAATATTTTACCACATTCAGCAGTTTGGTTTAGATATGTAGATGATGTAATATGTCTTTGGCCATGTAATGAGGATTACAAGCCTTACTACCACTACTTAACAACTTAGCCCCCTCGATCAAATTCACTGTGGAATTAGAAAGTGAATGCAAATTACCATTCCTAGACGGTCTGATCCACAGAGTAGGTAACACCTTTAAGTTCAGTATTTATAGGAAAGCTACAAATGTGTGTTCAGGTATTCATTATTATTCTGCCACCATAATAGAGTCAAACAGTCAGTATTCTCATCAATATTTTTACATGATCTGCGAATATGCAGTCCAGAATTCATTGATGAGGAATATAAATATAATTATAATATTGCTTTGAAATATTTTTTATAGAACTCATCCTAAACCTCCCTATGACAGTAAGAATCTCTTAGTATTACCTTTTAACAAAAATTTCTCTCAGATTCCTCTACAACTGAAAACCTGGAACATAAATGTAACATTTAGTAACTCATGAACTGTAAAACAAATGTTAATAAAGAACTCCCCCAGCATTGCAGGTGGCTGCATTGACAAGGTTCCTTGCAAGGAATGTAATAAATATGTTCTAGTTAAGCCAGACAGGAAACGATCTTATAACTAGACACAGACAGCAAAAATATAGGGCAAGGACAGGCCAAGAATCGAATGCTTAGTTCATTCATATGAAACATAATAAGCAGTTCAAATGATGTCGAAGTCTTTAAACTGCTAGGGGAACATATGAGCACGGCGGTGGAGGAGACTGTAGTGGGAGCGGGTAAACAAAGTGAAAGGTTACAGGGAAATAGCGCTAGGAATTATGACAAAACTAAATTATGCAGGGAGTTAAAAACTAAACGCGACAAAGAGAGGACTCAGAACAAGACTAACTTAAATGTCTACGACGCAAACAGTAAAGTATGAGAACCAAAATGGATGAAATCAGGGCGTTGGTATGTACCGAAAAAATCGATAAAATAGCATTCACCGAAACATGGATAAACCTAGACTCCCGTGAGTTACCTGTCGAATACCAAATTGCAGGTTACAAATTATTCCATACCGATAGGAAGATTAGAAAAGGAGGCGGAGTAGCAATCTGTCAGGGATAATCTGAAGTGTGAAATAAATAAGGAAATTAAAACTGAGCAGAATACAGAAACAATTTGGGTAGAATTAATCGATGGTAGGGAAATATTAATCACTGGAGTAATATATAGACCTCCTAATCTTGACAGAGTTAATGAGCGACTTATTTGTGATGAAGTGCCCCGGGCTTCCATACATAGCAAAGTCTGTATAGTAGGCGACTTTAACTTTAGCCAAATAGATTGGATTGACCTTGCGGGTAACTCAGAATCAGAGGATTTTCTTGAAACAATCCAGGACTGTTTCCTAAGCCAACATATAACCGAACCCACCCGGGGTAATAATATACTCGATTTAGTTCTGTCAAACAGAGAAAACCTCATTATCAATGTCGAGACGAGGAACAAACTTGCTAACAGCGATCACAAAGAAATTAGATTCCAGTTAGAATTTCAGGGTAGCCACAAGGAAAATTCCACTAGTTATCTGACAGTGATGTCAGATAACGAGGGAACTGTTTTCAGATGAGGTTCCTCCTTTCTGTTGTAAGTAATACTGCTGCTTTAGTCTAACTTTAATGCATTTAATATTTCTTAATAATTTTGATATCATGTATAATTTTTGTTCCCCAGTGTAGCGTCTTAAGCCAGGCGAATATGTTTGTGTACCATTATTGATTTGGGTTGTAGTGTTGGAGGGAATAGAAGTGTCAAATTTTACAGTGCGTCTCATTCACCCCAATCACAGGTGCTATTTTTCCACGGGTCATGGAGAATGTGACTAAAAAAATTCATAATACCACTATACCGATTTTTACGAAACTTGGTTGGAGTCTCGCCGGAAACAAATTATCTTAGTGTTTGAGAAATTGGGTCAAACATCACGTCCAAATATTAAATACCCAACTATGGAGGTGCCACCAAAATAAGTAAACCGACCTTAGTAAAGCTTGACATTTAGGTTTTACATTGAATGAGATAGTAAGGCCACCTTAAGAGGTGATATTTGATATTTGACAAACGTTTAAAAAAACTGGATCTCGGTGAGATGTGATAGGTGGGCTTTCGGGATCAAGGAGGACCATTAGTCAACATACATTGGTGAGTAAAGCATGACATTATGTAGATAGTCCATTTTCTCACTTTATCCTCCTCCTTTCACTTCAACTCTTCCCATTTACTCTCCACTTTTCTTACTTCTCCCTGATCTACCCGTGAGAGGGACGGGGGGCCCTCCCGCATGGCCCACCGTAGCGTGTAGGTCGAGATATAAAGATTTAAAGTGGCTTGGATGATCTAAAAGAGGACGCCATTAGACTTTTAGAGAGTAAAATTTAGATATTTTTTCGTCTGAAGTTCGCCTTAAAACCTCGACGCACTTAATATTCTCTCTTGAGAAGTGTTTAAAAGTATTATGAAGCTAATTGCATTAAGGCTTCAGCGCGCGAGCCTTATAAAGATATAATTCTGTATAAGATAATGAGAGAGCCTGGGAGGGGAGGTCGGTCCAGCTCAGGGATAAAAATGAGGAACCAGAGGCGAATTAATGGAGTCTTTTACGGCCTGTGCTGCCTTTGTCGCGTCTCTGGGGACCCTTTCAAACTTTCTTCGCCCATTAGATGAGTACGGAGGGTGGGGGGGGGGGGAGGGGCTCATATTGTCACCCTAGTGTCTGTGTCGGCGTTTTCCTCTGCGTCTGCGTCCGATTTGGGTAGATTTTTTGGTCGAATTACATGGAGTAAATTTTCTACTTTATTAATCAATATTAATAGCACTTTGTATAATATTGTTAAATATTAGAGGAATATTAAAGACCTGTCGTCTTCTCTCCTCTCAGCGCATCTCCACATTAACCCGGCCTCGTAACTTGAACCCTGATTTTGGTTATTATAGTTTAAATCCAGTTAGTTAGATAATGACATGTTAGGTTAGGTTACTTTAACTTATGTTAGGTTTCAGGTTGGACCTGGTTCCGGGTTCGGTTTAGATTGATTCTTGGTCGTTTTACTACAGGTTTATAGGATTGGTGGTCGACCGATGTTTCATAAGTTAACAAGATTATTGACTCAATTAAAGCCAATCTGGAGTCCATGCCAGTTATCTCAAAATCGAAAATTAATGGCGAAAAATTACATCTGTTTCACACCTGTAAAGGCGTTAAGGTATATGCATACATGGTTATTGAGCACTCGAGTAAAGTCCCTTCAAGTTGACGTCTATCTTTTACTGATCAAGAGTCAGTTTACAGTGCCAGGACGTGCAGTACCAGCACAGGACTACTATTATAATATATAAATAATAGGTACAATTGGTTGAGACTTGTTTTACCCATTTTCAAGTGATGCTGACAACAGAACCCGTCAGCTGTACATCCCTTGTTTATGAAATATATATCCTGTGTCTGTGTATAAAAGCTTGCGTATGTATTTGAAATCGGTTTTCCTGGTGCTTTGGCATGTACTGAAGTCATCTTAATATAATTGAATTTATATTTTCTACCCCACTATGGAAATTCCACACCACAGTCATGTTTCCTCATATACAATGTTTTTCGAACATGAATAGATTCAGCTATCAAGACTCTATCTAACCAACATAAACTAAGCCTAATCATACTTTAAATTAATGTATATTAGTAAAACCTAATTTAACCTTATTTACTCTAACCTAACCTAACAACTTAGCTTACTGAACTCTACTTGCACTAACCTTTTTAAAGCTACAGTATATTATTTTATCTAATCCAATAATGACTCTGTTTATGACCATCACCACATATACCAGGATGAAGGCTATTGTCACCACCACTACCAGGATGAAGGCTATTGTCACCACCACTACCAGGATGAAGGCTATTGTCACCACCACTACCAGGATGAAGGCTATTGTCACCACCACTACCAGGATGAAGGCTATTGTCACCACCACTACCAGGATGAAGGCTATTGTCACCACCACTTCCAAGATGAAGGCTATTGTCACCACCACTTCCAGGTTGAAGGCTATTGTCACCACCACTACCAGGATGAAGGCTGTTGTCACCACCACTACCAGGATGAAGGTTATTGTCACCACCACTACCAGGAGGAAAATAAATGTCACTACCACCACCAAAATGAAGTTCATACTCACTACATCTACCAGAATGATGGTTATGGGATCCGGACAAAAGCCCCCAGGACAAAATAAAACCGGAAAAAAGAACCCTGGACAAAACCTATCAGTTAAAGTGCGAAGTAGGACAAAAGCCAACTCATTTACAGTGCAAAATAAGTTAGGTTAGGTTTAATTTGGTTTTATTAGATTAGATTATATTAGGTTAGGTTAGGTTGGGTTGGGTTAGATTAGGTTAGGTTAAGTTAGGAAAGGTATTGCAGTCTTATGATATAATAAATGTATTATTTTACATGTCAGAAAGGTGTTCATAACTCTCAATAATAAAGAATATAAATAATTATCTAAAATTATTATTATTATTTATTTGTCCTAAGGGGCTTTTGTCTCACACTCAATAGTTATAATCGAATGTAGGAGAAAATGGCACAGAAAGACTGGCAATAGGAAAATATGGCATCGGGAAAAAGGCATAATCATCAGACTAGGTTACTGGGAGAAAATGGCACATTAATTTTTATTGACATGTTTTCGCAAAAAATTTATAACGTTTCTTACTGAAACTTACCTACGTATTATTGGACAAAGGAAGGCTATAGGTAGGAGAATGTATCAAACTAAAACACGAGATATGATCGAGGTGTATAAATGGAAGTCAGGGCTAAACAAAGATGATATAACAAGTTACCAAACGTTAGCTCGTAAGTTCGTTTGTGGTTCGTGAGCTCGAAGTGAAATTTGTTGTGCCATGTTTTTCTAGTGTGAAAATTGTGCTATTTTTTCTTGTGCCATATTTTCCGGTGCTATTTTTTCCGAGTACCTTATAGTCACCACCACTACCAGGATGGTTGTCATTGTCACCACCACTACCAGATGATGGAAATAGTCACCATCATTACCAGGATGATTGTCATAGTCACCACCACTACCAGGATGATAGTCATAGTCACCACACCTTTACCAGGATGATAAAAAAGTCACCACCACTACCAGGAAGATAGTCATAGTCACCATCACTACCAGGATGATAGTCATAGTCGCCACCACTGCCAGGATTATGGTCATAGTCACCACCACAACCAAAATAATAGTCATAGCAACCACCACTACCAGACTGATAGTCAAAGTCGCCACCACTACCAAGATGATGTCCATGGTCACTGCAGGAACCATAAGCGTGTTGCTGGTCTCTATGGGGAAATACGCGCGTCAAGACCATCGCCTCAGACTCGGTTTATGACCCTCGGGTCTGTCTAATTTCCGGTGCGGACGTGCGAGTGTTGATCTCGGGAGTCTCTCTCTCTCTCTCTCTCTCTCTCTCTCTCAGAGCAGAACATATTATGACCGCTAATTACTTTCCTGTATCATAGTATCAAAATCACTATTATCCACAATCCTCATATTTTCACCATCACTATCATCCCTCACCCCTATCATCCCTAACCACTATTACCCCCTCACCACAATCATCTCTCACCACTATCTTCCTTCACTGCAATCAACCCTCACCACTATCATTTCTCACCACTATCATTTCTCACCACTATCATCCCTTACCACAATCATCCTTCACCACTACACCCATCACCACAATCATCACTCACCTCTATCACCCTCACCACTATCATCTTTCACCACAATCTTCCCTCACTACTATAACCCCTTACTACTATCACTTCTAACCACGATCATCCCTCACCACTAACCCGTTTACCACTATCACCCCTCACCACTACTACCTCTCACTATTATCCATCAACACGATCACCCATTCACCACTATAATTCCTCATCACTATTACCCATCACCGTTATCCCCCTTCACCCTATCATCATTCACCACAATCAACCCTCATCACAATCATTTCTTATCACGATCACCCCTCGCCACAATCATTCCTCACCATATCCCCCTTCACCACTATCATCCCTCACTACTATCATCCTTAACCATTATCATTCTTCACAGATATTACCCCTCACCAGTATGTCTGCTAAAATAAACACCAATCTGACTCCTCACCAATCTTGTATGACGTCCCCTAAGGTTCCATTCTCGGTCCAGTACTGTTTTTGTTGTACATAAACGATATAGTCGTCGCCAGCACACTCATAAAATACAACTTATTTTCAGACGATAGTAATCTCTATGCCAGCAACTCGGACATCCAATCCTTGATGAGAACTATGAATACTGAATTAACTAAAGTCAGGACCTGGGTAATACTTAATAAACTGACCTTAAAAATCGAAAAAAACCACTACACCATCTTTCACAGAAGGAAAAATTTACCCCGAGATTTGGACCCCTGTACCTTGGTAATACAGTCCTCAAACATGAATGAAATACTAAATTCCTCTGAGTTATTGTTGATGAGAAGCTTAACTGGAAAAACCACATACAAGCCATTCACAGTAAAGTCAATAAACAGTGCGGTATCATGTATCGCAATAAACAGTGCGGTATCATGTATCGCACTCGACAGTCACTCATTCTTACAGCAATGAAAGAACTCTATTATGATCTTGTTTACCAACACCTGATACACTGCCACACACTATAGGGGGCATCTGGCTCTTCAAAAACCCAATCCCTGGTTACTGCACAAAAGAGAGTTATGAGGACAATGACCTACTTGAAAAAAACAGATCACACAAGCGAACAATTTGCTAAATTGAAAATTAAAAAATTCTAGGATATTAACACCTACTGTTGTGCCCTATTTGTTTACACTCTGTCAATCACTTGCTTTACAACAATTATTTCCAGCTCCGGAATAATCAGAGATACAACTTAAGGCACCAAGAGCTACTAAGACCACCCCCCATGCACTCCTCTCAGTCCCAGACTTCCATAAAATATCATGGTGTGAAGGTGTGGAAAAACGTACCCCCAACAATCCGAGCAAAGACTCAGCTCCCTTCATTTAAATCATCTTAAAAAATATCTATTGTCTAAATATTAATATTTCTTGTAGTACTTACTTTAAATACCTGTTTTTATTGTACCATCAAAAACGTTTTATCAGAAATTATCATATAGATAGATAAGAAATTAATATTGAAAAAAAATAACTTAAGCGAGATAGTAGTGACTACAGGTGTAGTAACGATGTTAGTAAGCAAATAGACAAACTAAAGCCTAATAAGTCACCAGGTCCCGATGAGATATTTGCCAGATTGTTAAAGGAATGTAAGGAAGAGCTTAGTATGCCTTTAGCAAATTTTTTTAAATGTCCTTAAAAACGGGTGTAGTACCAGAATCCTGGGGGATAGGGAATGTAATTCCGATTTTCAAGAATGGAGATAGATTACGATCCTCTAACTACCGTTCAATCAGTATAACATCAATTGCCGGCAAATTACTGGAAGCAATCATTTCAAACTCTATTCGAAATCACCTGCAGAAGCACAAGTTGATCAATGATTCCCAACATGGCATCATAAGTGGGCGTTCATGTCTAAGTAATATATTAACATTCTTTTCACTGTTTTTGATTCAGTAGACGAGGAGCACAATTATAATAAGAACATAAGAACATAAGAATGGAGGAAAATGCAGCGGGCCTATTGGCCCATTACTGGGCAGCCCCGTTTACACCCAACCCCTATTGCTCATATAAGCATCCAACCTATGTTTGAAGCTATTCAGCGTATTCGAGTTATTGAAGATATTTGGTAACTTGTTCCATTCATCCACTACTCTGTTTCCAAACCAGTGTTTACCTATTTTGCGCCTAAATCTAAATTTGTCTAATTTAAAACCATTGTTACGAGTTCGCTCCTGGTTGGATAGTTTGAGTACCTTTGTAATATCCCCTTTGCTTAGCCCGACTTCCATTTATACACCTCTATCAGGTCGCCCCTTGCTCTTCGTCTCTCGAGGGAGTGCAAATTAAGATGCTTTAACCTGTCTCTATACTCAAGGTTCCTAATGCCCGGGATTAGTCTTGTCATTCTCCTCTGAATTCTTTCCAAGGATTCTATATCCATTCTATAATACGGTGACCAGAACTGAACTGCGTAATCCAGGTGTGGTCTCACAAGTGCAAGATACAGTTTTAGGATGACCTCACTAGTCTTGTAACTAACACTCCTTTGTATGAACACAAGTACTTTATTAGCCTTGTTAAGAGCAAAAACACATTGTTTACTTGGCTTAAGGTTCCTACTTATCATTACTCCTAAATCTCTCTCACAGTCGGATTTCTCTATGGCATCGTTGTTCATCTGGTATCTGGTTCCCTGTTTACATCTCCTATACTGAGTACTTTACATTTGTCTACGTTGAATTTCATCTGCCATTTTTCAGACCATTCGAAAAATTTGTTTAGATCTTCCTGTAGTTTCGCCGAGTCCTCGTCAGATTTAATAACACGTCCTATTTTAGTGTCATCAGCAAATTTACTTATGTTGCTGTCTATGCCGATATCTATGTCGTTTATGTATTTAATAAATAATAATGGTACAAGTACTGAGCCTTGGGGAACTCCACTAGTGACGTTGCTCCAATGGGACTGAGTGCAGTTAATGCTCACTCCCTGTTTCCTGTCCTGTAACCACGCCCTAATCCATTTAAGGATATTACCTTTGATGCCATGTGTTTCTACCTTTCTAATTAGTCTTTCGTGGGGGACTCTGTCGACGTTAGATAATGACATGTTAGGATAGGTTACTTTAACTTATGTTAGGTTTCGGGTTGGACCTGGTTCCGGGTTCGGTTTAGATTGATTCTTGGTCGTTTTACTACAGGTTAATAGGATTGGTGGTCGACCGATGTTTCATAAGTTAACAAGATTATTGACTCAATTAAAGCCAATCTGGAGTCCATGCCAGTTATCTCAAAATCGAAAATTAATGACGAAAAATTACATCTGTTTCACACCTGTAAAGGCGTTAAGGTACACCTTCTTTCATTTGCAATTGAACAATTGACCACTTGCCTTTAACAATCAAGATTTTGGAATGACAAATTTCTATTTGCTTTCAACTATTTTCCGAATCCATTCAACAATCAGTTATTTTGATTTGACAATTTACAAAACCTTTCAACAGCCACATATCTCCGATTGCTTTCAACAGTCAACCAAACTTTTCAACAATGCGACTGAAACAATCATCATTGAAAAGAATTTGTTCAACAATCTTTAAAATCAGTAACAGCCATGAATATTTAATTTTTGAGTATACTTACACAAACATCAACAACACAATGAATTCTGGTATAAACATATGTAATTATGTAATGTCTTTAGTCTTTAGTATGTAGTAGCTACATAAAACATACGATTGCTTAAAAAGAAACAAAGAAAAAAGGGCCTTATACTAATAGCTAAATACATTGGTGTCATGATACTTCCACGAAGCAATTCACAGTAAAGGCCTCGTACACCTTGGTGGGTTGTTTCTGCCTGGCTGTAAGGTAGGGATGGAGGTAGGTGAGGGTGGGAGGGGTAGTGGGATTGGGGAGAGGAGTG